ATATGACACCACCAAAGGAATACAGTAATTCTCAAGTACCAGACCCCATCCAGCAGGAAACCCTTGAAATATCTGAAAAGGGATTCCAAGCAATGATCTTAAGAAAACTCAAAGAGAGAAGAGAAGACTCAATTAGAGAACACAATGAAATGAGAAAAATTATCCAGGATACGAAGGAGGAAGTTTACAAAGAGATTAATACCTTAAGAAAGAATGTAGCAGAACTCCTGGGACTGAAGAATTCACTCAATGAAATAAAAAACACAACAGAGAGCTTGAGCAGCAGGCTAGAGCAAGCAGAAGAAAGAATTTCAGGCTTTGAAGATGGCCTTTTTGAAATAACCCAGGCATACAAAAGGAAAAAAGATTTTTAAAAAGTAAAGAAAATCTAAGAGAGCTAGCACACTACCTTAAGCACAGAAACATCCAAAGAGGGCCATTATATAATGATAAAGAGATCTATCCATCAAGAAGACATAACAATCATAAATATGTATGCAGCCAACACTGGAGCACCCAGACATATAAAGCAAACACTCTAAGACCTGAAGAAAGAGACAGACCCCAATACAAGAACAGTGGGTGACTTGAATACCCTTCTCTCAGCATGGGACAGATCTTTAAGGCAACAAATCAACAAAGAACAGGATTTAAACTACACCTTAGACCAACTGAACCTGTCAGATATCTACAGAACATTTCATCCAACAACTACGGAATATACATTCTTCTCATCAGCACATGGAACATTCTCCAGGACAGACCACATGTTAGGTCACGAATCAAGTCTCAACAAATTTTAAAAAACTGAAATCATTTCAAGAATCTTTTCAGACAACAATGGATTAAAACTGCAAAAAAAATAACATGCAAAACTCTGGAAACTATACAAATACATGGAAACTGAACAACAGGCTCCTGAAGGACTATGGGTCCAAGAAGAAATTGAACAGGAAATCAAACATTTCTAGAAACTAACAAAAATAAAGACACACCATACCAAAACTTATGGGATACTGCAAATGAAGTACTAAGAGGGAAGTTTACTGCAATAAATGCTTACATCAAAAGAATATAAAGACTTCAAATAAGTGACCTAATGTTGTACCTCAGAGAACTAGAAAGACAACAATAATCCAATCCTAAAAGTAGTAGAAGGAAAGAACTAATTAAGATCAGAGTAGAACTAAATGAAATAGAGAACAAAAAAAACAAAAGATTGATGAAACAAAAACTTGGTTTAGACAATTAGCTAGGTTAGCAAAAACAAAAAGGAGAGAAAAGACCCAAATAACAAAAGTCAGAAATGAAAAGGGAGACAATACAACTGATACCAAAGAAATACAAAGAGTCATTAGAGATGACTATAAACAACTATATGCCAACAAATATGAAAACCTGGAGGAAACAGATAAATATCTGGACACATGCAAACTACCAAGACTGAACCAAGAAGAAATAGAAAACCTGAACTAACTAACAACAAGCAATGAGATTGAAGCAGTAATCAGCAATCTTCCAACAAAGAAAAGCCCAGGATTGGGTGGCTTTATTGCTGAAGTCTATCAAACCTTTAAAGAAGAATTAATACCAGATGTCTTCAAACTATTCCAAAAAATTGAAGCAGAGGCTATTTTCCCAAACTCATTCTATGAGGCCAGCATCACCCTGACACCAAAACCAGACAAACAAAACTATAGGCTAATATCCTTGATAAACATAGATGCAAAAATCCTCAAGAAAATATTAGCAATCAGAATACAGCAACACATCAAAAAACTTATACACCATGATCAAGTGGGATTCATCCCAGGGATGCAAGTCTGGTTCAACATAAGCAAGTCAATAAATATGGTACACCACATCAACAAAACCAAGGATACAACCATATGATTATCTTAATAGATACAAAAAAAAACATTCAACAAAATTCAACATCCCTTCATGATACAGACTCTCAGAAAATTAGGTATAGAAGGAAATGATCTCAACCCAATAAAAACCATTTATGACAAACCAATTACCAATATCACAGGAACATGACAAGGATGCCTACACTCACCATGCCTATTTAACACAGCATTAGAAGTACTAGTCAGGGCCGGCCTGGTGGCGCACTGCTACAGTGTGCCGCTTGGGAGTGCGGCGGCACTCCCGCCGAGGGTTTGGATCCCACATACAGACCGGCCGCTCACTGGCTGAGCGAGGTGCGGGCGCAACACTGAGGGTTGCGATCCCGTTGCCGGTCCCGGTCTGGTACGGGCGCGACACTGAGGGTTGCGATCCGTTGCCAGTCACGAAAGAAGACAAAAAGGAAAAAAAAAAAAAAAAGAAGTACTAGTCAGAGCAATGAAGCAAGAGAAAGAAGTAAAGGGCATCCAGATTGGAAAGGATGAAGTTAAACTATCCCTGTTTGCAGATGAGATGGTCTTATATAGAGAGAAACCTAAAGACTCTACCAAAAAACTCTTAGAGCTCATTAACAATATCAGTAATGTTGCAGGATACAAATCAACACCCAAAAATCAGTAGCATTTTTATACTCCAATAAAGAACTAACAGAAAAAGAAATCAAGAAAGCAAGCCCATTTACAATAGTCACTCCCCCAAGAAATAAAATAAATAAAATACCTAGGAATCAATGTAAAAGGTAGTGAAAGATCTCTACAATGAGAACTACAAAACACTACTGGAAGAAATTAAAAAGGACACAAAAAGGTGTAAAGACATTCCATGCTCTTGGATGGGAAGAATCAACACTGTGAAAATGTTCATACTACCCAAAGCAATCTACAGATTCAATGCAATCCCCATCAAGATGCCAATGACATTCTTCACAGAAATAAAAACAAACAATCCTAACATTCATACAGAACAACAAAAGACCCTAACTAGCCAAAGCAATCCTGAGCAAAAAATAATAATAAAGCCAGAGGCATAACACTACCCAATTTGAAATTATATTACAAAGCTATTATAACCAAAACAGCATGGTACCTGCATAAAAACAGACACTGGGACCAAAGGAATAGAATAGAAAACCAAGGAATCAACCCACATACTCACAGCCAACTGATCTTTGACAAAGACACCAAGAACACACATTGAGGAAAAGACTGCCTCTTCAATAAATGGTACTGGGAAAGTTGGACATCCATATGCAGAAGAATGAAACTGGACCTATACATCTGACCATATACCAAAATCAACTCAAAATGGACTAAAGGCTTAAATATAAGACCCCAAACCATAAATTTACTAAAAGAAAATGTATGGGAAACACTTTGGAAAGCAGGAGTGGGCATAGACTTTATGAATAAGACCCAAAAAGCACAAGCAACAAAAGAAAATAAATAAACAAATGGGATTATACCAAACTAAAAACCTTTTGCACAGTAAAGGAAACAATCAGCAGAGTGGAAAGACAACCTATGGAATGGGAGAAAATATTTGCAAACTATACATCCTGCCAGGGATTAATATGCGGAATATATAAGGAACTCAAACAACTTCACAGTAAGAAAACAAATAATCCAATTATAAAATGGGCAAAGGAGTTGAATAGACATTTTTCAAGGGAAGACATTCAGATGGCCAACGGATACATGAAAAAGTGCTCAACATCACTAATCATCAGGGAAATGCAAATCAAAACCACACTGAGATATCATCTCACCCCAGGTAGATTGGCCATTATTAAAAAGACCAAGAATAACAAATGCTGGCTTGGATGCAGAGAAAGGGGAATTCTTCTACACTATTGGTGGGACAGCAAATTTGTACAGTCATTATGGAGAACAGTATGGAGGTTTCTCAAACAACTGCAGATAGAACTACTACCATATGATCTAGCAATGCCACTACTGGGTATATAGCCAAAGGAATGGAAAACATCATGTTGAAGGGGCACCTGCACTCCCATGTTCATTGCAGCTCTTTTTACAATAGCCCAAATATGGAATCAACCTAAGTGTTCATCAACAGATGACTGGATAAGGAAAATGTGGTATATATACACAATGGAATACTACTCAGCCATAAAAAAGAATGAAATTCTGCCATTTGCAGCAACATGGATGAGCCTGGAGAAAATTATGTTAAGTGAAATAAGCCAGACACAGAAAGAGAAATACCACATGTCCTCACTCATAGCTGGGTACTAGAGAAGGAAGGGGGAGGGAGGGAGGGAGGGAGGTAAGGAGGGAGGAAGAAAATAAAGAAAGAAATCACAATAATACGTTGAACTTTCAGAAGGAGAGAACAAACCTAAGCATACTAGAGATGGGGGTTGGGGGTTGGGGAGGGATTGGTTGGGTAAAGGACATAAAAAATAATTACAATTGGAATAATGAATATGCTAACAAAAAAATCACATAAAAATGTTAATTGCTCTTTTCTTCTTTGTAAGACATAGTAAATCTTTTCTTTGAGCATCAAGCTCAAATATCCAAATGCCTAATTGACAACTCTATCTGGATGTCTGACTGAGATTTCAAAACTAAGATGTCTAAAGCTGAAGTCTTGAGTTCCAACCTAATGCTCCACAAGAAACTCACCTCTCTGTTCTTATTATATAGAATACCAAACCACTTTCCTTACCACTTATACTTTATCCGTGCTTTATTATTTTTTAATAAAACTTAAGGAAGGGACTGTAACTGGAGCCCTATCCTTTTAGACAAAATGCTTATTCCCTAGTCTTGGGTTCATTTGCTAACTTATCGGGGGTGGAGAAAGGGGTATAATATACCCTATTTTCTCGCTATTCGCTTTTCATTGACACACAATACTATAACCTCTAGAGTGGTGGCACATCCTGGAATCATGTGGCAATACTCATAGTTCATGACCAATAACCCACCCAAGACTCATCTGACTGAAATTTGGGAGCCAGCCTCCTAAACATGCTTATGTGGTAGCAAAGTGCTCTGGCAAATTGGTCAAAACCATGATCTTACTGGCACTGTGTAGAGTTGTTGGGGCTCCATGAAAATAAGTACCTTAGAATCCTCCTGGTGGGGAAGCTGCTCTCTCTTCTCCTTCAGGCACATCAACACAGCATCTGGAGTCTCCTCTCCAGAGGAGCTTGGCTCAGGGGCTGCAGCTTCTGTCTTCCCATTCTCTCTAGAGACTGTGGGTTGCTCACAGGGCAGGTTTCTAGGTGGACCTTTGGGAGCAGTCCCTTGTTCTGACAGCTTCAGCTTTAGTTCTAAGAGAAATGCCATAAGTTACCATGAGTAAAGAGGACTCACTGGCCCCAATACGAACAGAGAGCCTTTCAGGAAATTCCCTCTCCTGATCCCAAGTCAGTGGAAATGAACAATGTTAATGATGGCTTTTCATGGGGCAAGGGCAGCCTTAATAACCAGGGTCAATAGAGTAAGATCCCAGTTAGCTGTGGAGGCTGGGATTTACTTCGCCCCAAAGCTTTACACCTTTTATTTACTGAAGCACCTGAACTTTTACACTCAAAGATTCATTTACTTAGGTTTTGAAAGTTGTGTGTTCACCAAAAGCCCCTATGGAAATGGAAGTACTTCTGGAAGGCATCACACATGCAGACACCCTAGGAAATACAGGAGGGGCTGGGAAAGGGGACAGGGGCACGCCAGCCCCAACTTGACAGATTTCACAGTTTTGAAATCCAAGAATCACCATTATGACAACGTGGCTTTATATAAACCTAGATAATTAAAAATAAAAAGCCACCTAGGACTTATCAGGGAATTACATTTCAGAATATACTAGAGAACTGGCTGTTTCATGAGGCCATTTATATTGATTTCTCAATTACATAGCTCATTTTCCTTGTTTGATGATTGTTTTTTAGTTAGACTCTGGCTTGGTGTTTAAACGCTGCATGTTAAACCTGCTACACTGAGTTTAATACCACTGAATTAATATTTCCTTCTAGTTATTTATAATCACCATCCTTCCTGAAGTTTGGAAAAATTCAATGTTCCTAAGTCTTGAAATTAGAGTGTGAAGAGAGGAAGAAGATAATTTTTTATTGGTAAATAACAATAGTCCTTTCTAAATGGATTTTAGGGTTAATTAATACTCATACCACCATCTCCAGAGGGGGACAGAAAAAGAACAACACTGGACCATGAGGCAAGAAAAACAAATTTTATACCTGGCTCACCACCTCCAAACTACATAAACCTTCCCTCTCTCTGGGCATAAATGTTCTCATCTGTGGAATGGGGTACGTGGAAAAAATGATTTCTTGGATCTCTTTTGTTTCAAACATCCAAGAATCCAATATCCCAGGGAGGTTAATGTTCCACATTTTGAAATGTTCCTGAAGTGAATGATTCCACTTGGGATTCTGGAGGTCCTCAGTCTCTTTGTAAGGTTTATAAAATGGGGCCAAACGATGAAGGAGACCCAGGACCCTGTATTTCAAATAGGACCTCCAATCTAAGTGGGAAATGAGGTTCAAGACAGCCCTGGTGGAAATGAATCAGAAATGCCCTGGAGTACATTATCACTACCGTAACTGCTTCCTTTCTGAGAAGAGACTTTTGGCTGGCATTTACCTTTGAGCTGTTTACGACCTTTAGCCAAATCATTCATCCACTTCAGGACTTCAGGATTAGAAGTCTTGTCACCATGTGAAGGCTACCAAGGGAAGGATAAATGGGGATGGAAGAGGGTGAGGGAAAGGAGGAAGAGGGAGGGAGAGAAAGAAAAGGAAAAACAAAAAAATTAAACAGCTGAGCCACACAAAGATAGTTCAGGACTATATAAATCTGAGAGAGAAATTCAGGCATGAAAACTCCAGCAGATGGGGTTGCTTCTGGAAAACAAAGCAGACATTCTTGACTTACTCTACTCTTTCATCCTTGTCATGGGCATTTTTCCTAAACAGTCCTGGTCACCCAGTATTTTTCACATAGTCCTAACCACACCAGTGCTCCCTACAGTCTAACCCACAGTCACCTTGCAGGCCACCCATACCACACACCACATTGCCAGGCCATTCTCTGTATCAATGCAGATGACTGCAGTCATACAAACCAGTACTCACTACCTTGCCTGTGGCTCACATACATGGCTTAAGACCACAACCTGCTAGAGAATAGTGACAAACTGGAAGATTTAGCTCCTATCAGTCCTATCCTCCACGCCAAAGAAAGGAGACCCCCAGAATCGCCAAAATTTGACAACAGTCCTGAGAAGTCAGACCGTCAGGAGAAAGCCTAGATTTCTAATCCTCTCACTATCCATAGACTCAATATCCTGCTGGGGTTAGCATTAAAGTGAAATTTAATCATATTTGTGTGACCTTGGGGAAAGCATTTCACCTCTCTGTGCCTCAGTCTTATCTATCAAATGAGGATTATGACATCATCTCCCTCACAGGGTTGCTGTGAGAGATTAATTTCTGTAAAGCACTGAAAACAGTTTCAAGCACATGGTAAACAGTAGAGAAGTGTTAGCTAGAATAAAAAATATTATTGTTGTTATTACTAGCAGTAGTGGTGGTAGTAGTAGTAGTTTTACTACCTGACCCTCAAAGGAATCCCAAATATGTCTTCACCAACAAACATACATATAGGGTTATGCATGTCCTACAAATAGTTAATAATGCCTTGGACGTGACAATAAGAATATTGTTTTAGAAGAATATGACTCTATCGATGCAAATCATTCACCATAACTTCTGGATTTCTTCTTAGAGCACAAAAGTGGATTTTCTACAGATAAAAAGAATCTAGGAGAGAAGGGTTGACAAACATAGTTACTCTCTACACCCACAGATCAGTAAGAAATATTTTTAAACAAGTCAAGGCCAACATGGTAACTTAAATGCAGGCTCAAAAAAATTAATAGTTACTTTAAATTAAAGGTATACAAGGAGCTATATAGGTAATGTTCTAGATGACATGATCACAAACATAACAGTTTGAAATGTGTGCATTGTTAGTGACCAAACCTAGGAGCTCTGTCATGTTTCTTTAAGGATCCACTAAATCCATGTAACATCAGCAATTTGTTGGTGAGAGGGAGGCATAGGAAGATGAAAAACACATGCTTTTCAAGTTCAAAGGCAAAAACAGTACTTGTGTGACAGGATCATCAAATGTACATAGGATTAGGTCTGTTCATTGTGAAACACAAGACATAGTTATGTCAGTTCTAGAGCAATGTAAAAACCATATGTTTTAAAATCAAGATGGAAATGAAGACTGAAGGAAAATGGCAATGATTCTTTCCTAAGGGAACTTGGACAAGAGACTATCATTTCCACAAGGGAATCCCTGGGTTCAGGACCACGGAGAGTAACTCACAGACCTCTTCCCTCTCCGCGCCCCCACCCCCCAAAAGAAAACAGCTTAGCCTGGTCCTCTCTATGGTCTGCTAGGATGATGCACTCTAATATTTTCCCAATATAAAAAATACATAGTCTAGTACTTTGGCTTTGGGTTGTATGGACAATTAATGTTTTACATTTGGTTTCTCAAAATCCTTAGAGATGTCTCCACTGCAGTCTGAGAAAACATCTTGTTGAACAGCGCTTCACTGGTTCACTGGATCTGCTCCACACAGTTAAGTCCTTCTTTTGAAATATAATAAGACACATACACACAAAAACCTTAAGACCCTCAGCCAGTGATCACCAAAGAAGTTTTCACTACTGCACGTAGAACTTAGGAGAAATTTAAGGCTAAATTTTCTGATAAAATAATTTAAAGCATGAAACCAGTTTCTGAAATGAATTTTTTTATTCCCTACTAAATAGCTCCTACTGGGGAGCTTTTAAAAGAGGTTAAATCAAGCTCATATGGATGGCGGTTCTCAAATCACACAGAAAATTTTCATATACGAACTGTGGCTCTTCAGGCCTTCTAACTTCTGAACTGGAATATTCTAGTTTATTAGATCCCAATGGTCATAACCCAGAAGTTACATAGTTTAGGTTTTGTTCAATGCAACTAAAATGGGCTCTCAAACTACAAAACTGAAGGTACCATTGGACCAGATTTGTGATCTGCCAGAGATGATGGCTCATGAAATGCATAAGAAAGACTTCTGGATTGATAATGAAAAGACCTGAGTTGTTGTCTGGGTTAGACCAATTCTTTTGCTGTTTGATTCTGGAAAATTCACTTCCCCTTTCTGGGCTTTAGTTTTTTCAATTGTCAGATAAGAAAGAAGACAGGCTGATCCTTTCCAAGTCTAACATTCTCTGATTCCACTGAAAGTAAACATCTGGCTGAAGCAGCCTTTTCTACGCCCATGAGTCCAATAATTGAATGCAAAATCAGTTGTAGAGAATAAGCACAGTTTTAGATAGGGATATAAAATGGTTACATTCACACAGAGTTGGAAAGATATATGTTATACATGGGCATCAGAACAGCCCAAAGGCCCAGCAGAACTTGGATTCAAAAATTAGCAGTGAGTGTTACTAATTCCACAGTCAGGCTGCCAGGAAGGGAAACCTTACCCACAGCAACCAATCAAGGTCCACTGCCATGTCAAACCTCTAACCACAGCCTGGCACCCTGACAGGAAGGGCAAGGGGAAGCCCTGTTTCCTCAGACATGTAAGGTTCTGATTACATCAAAGACTTTTATATACACCGAAGCAACGGTGACCATGAAGTCTCTTTCCCCTACTGCTCTCGAATCTGTCATTCTGCATGGAAGTGAGAGCATTTAAGCATGTGTGTGTATGTCTGCTCTGGCTGTAAAGCTTCTCTAGACAAAGCCAGGGGGTATCAGAAGAAATTCTCTTCCAAGACAGGCAGCTGCTGGGTGGCTATTATAGTTGAAAGAAATAATCCAGGGTCTGTAGCCACAGGTGGAAAAATCCAGTGGAGAATTAACATGTATAATTTTTCTTCATTTTCTGACAAGGCAGAGACTTCGTGAGTTAGCCTGTTCAAATATCACTCAAGGAGATTAAAAAGTTAGTAACACGTAGCCTCACTTCCTTCCTTCATGCCAAATACTATAATAAGCATCATAGTGTACTCCCTCATTTAACACTCGCAAACTTAAGTCACCACTAATATTAAGTCCACTTTACAGACAGACAAACTGAAACTCAGAAAGATAAAGTAACAAGTCCAAAGTCACAAAGTTCTTCAGTGGCTGTACTGGATTTAAATCCAGAACAGTCTGATTCAAGAATTGCCAGGTAAGAAGAAGTGTTAACAGGCCCTCGGAACGGAGCCCCTCGTGGTTACTATACAGTTTCCAATGTGGGGATATCACAGATCCAATAATACTCCAGCAGCAAACAGGTGAGATCAGCTTCTCACAAGATATCTGTAGCTTTCCAAATGTGGACCCTTAAGAATTTTACATCTTCTCCTCCATTGCAAAACCTTCTCATCTTCAATCTCCTTCCCCAAGCCTGAGCTGATAGAACACAACTATCTTAGGCAAGTTATTTGTCTTCACTGGGCCTCAATTTCTTTGTTTGGAAAACAAAGGCCTAGACTTATAATGGTGTAGAGCTCCCTCCTGCTGTATAAAAGACAATAAGTAGCTGTGACTGCCTGACTCTGGGGAAGGGAAGAATCTTCAACACCCTGACTAAGGTTGTCTTGAAAGCCAATCTGATTTCTTCCCCCATTTTGCAAAGGTAAAAACTACTCCTTAGAACCCCCTTTTAAGTGAATTTGAGGCCTCTTTGGGAAACACAGGACAGAAAGAATGGGACAGTGGAATATTACCCACTCTCGTCTCCCTCCCCAGAACTTACCCGCACTCACAGGAACCCTCCATTTGCCTCTGTACCAAGTGCTTAGTGAGCCTTTAAATATTTCAAGATGTATGAGAGATTATTCCCTTTTCAAATAACAAGCTGTTCTGGGCCCTCTGCCAAAGACCCAATATCTTTGTGCAATTCTATGTGAAATGATTTTTCTCTATGCCATGGTCACCATTAGAGAAAATAAATAAAAGCAGCATTGGCTAACAAGACACTTACCTATGACTCTGTAGTTTCTTATGCGAGAACAGACAAGACTTGTGTTTGCAGCATTGTGGTACCAGCACAAAGACTGGCACCTTGCTGATGGGAAAGGATGGTTCAAGGTTTGTTCTTATGAGTGGCCTGAACAAATGTCACTTGAGAGGTCACCACCAGCCAACCAGGAAGTACCATCTCTCCCTCATTCTGCCCCACAATTAGAGATTTTGCCCTTTGGGTCCTTAAGAGGTTCTTATCCAAATGCAAATGGGAAAAGGTTAAAGAAAAAATTACACCACAATTCAAAAATTATCCAATTTTTGATCCTAGAAAAACTAGTGATAGTAAGATTCCTCAGAAAAAAGGGGGGGGGGATCAATAATCAAATAAATTCAGAAATAAGAGTTGCAATCCATTACTAGAAAACATCTTAGCAGAAATCAACTGACAGCATGTGAAAACAAGACAGACCCAGGATGGGAACTCAATTTAGAACAGGTCCTTCATTGGTCAATGGGAACAGAGCTGTCCCCTGGCAAAACAGAAGGACAGAAGCTCAGAAAAATCTACATGCCTCTCACACGATGCCCTCTTAAGTCAACTCCAGGGTCCTTACCCGGTATTTCTTTTCTTGTTCAAATTTTTCTTCAAATTTCCGAATTTTCCGCTTGAGGCTCTGGATGTGCTTGGTGAGTTGGGTAATGGTCTGTGGCTCCTTGCCATCACCACAGCTGCATCGTGAAGAACTCCGGGGCCTGTAATGAATATAGAAAAGGAAAGAGCATAAAAAACAATGGTCTTCCAGTAATCACTGCTGCTGGTCTACAAACTAAGATTCCTGGATTATCAGAGAAGTTCAGAGGGCAGTTCAATATTTGATGAAGCTACCATGGTAGCACCTCATTAATTTCCTTGAAAATGTTGGTAAGTGTGGCTCACACAGGATAACACCTCAACAGGGTAGACAGACCCCGGACAGAGTAGACCCCTGATCTACTCATTAATGGAGACCCCAGTACATTTTAGCCTTCAAATGTCAAATATTAGTCCAGGAAATGCATTTGTTAAAGCTTAGAGGAGGCCAATTTAAGATTCAGAAGAGACAGCCCTGTTGAGGTGTTAATCCTTAATCAATTGCAAGAGCCACACCTACCAACATTTTCAAGGAAAATTTAGATGAATGGTTAACTTTTCTTGACATAACAGAACTTTTTCAAATATGATGAAAGGAATGGTCCCCCTCTCCAGAAAATGCATATACCCTCTCACATGACACACACTGTACATGCAATAGCAGTAATTCATTAACTTCCTCAAATCCATCAATAGATAGTCCATGGATCTGGGTTCGGATAATATCAAGAATAACAGCGTGAGTTATGAGGGAGAAACTAGGGATTCCCTGGGCATATCTTTAGCCAAGGGATTCTCAGTTTTAGCATGCATCAAAATTATTTGTGGAACTTAAAAATAAATAACACATAGTACCTCAACCTCACTCCAATCCCAAATGCAAATTCTAAATAGAGTGTATAGGGACAGGTATCTGGCTATATGCTCATGTATACATACATATGTATATACTTATTTGGGGAGGGGGGTGCTACTGTAAGCTACCATGTTTCTAGAATCTAAGAAGAAATTGAGGTGGACAATCCCAAGTATTCCTACAATCCATCCATTGATGTCACTGTTGAACACAGGAAGGATATTGAGCTCATTAATCTTGATATTTGCATGTATATATACTTACTTAGGATTCTGGTCATTTCATCAATAATATTCAAACATGAGAGCCCATGGGGTAGCCTGTCTCTCATGACCATTTTCTCCTGAGGGATTAAGGCCTGAAATAGCACTCCCAACTAGAAAACACACTGATTTTTGCCATTTATTGTCCTGCTCCTGCAGTTGCATTTGGCAGGCACGTTTGCATGATTTCAGACACACACTTCATTGTAGTTTGTAAATGTGGTATTTGAAAAACTATATTAAATGAAGACAATAAGAAAACCAGATTTCCTTACATCATAAACTGCTGCGTGCTGGGAGGAGAAGGGGCTGACTCAGGGTCTAAGTTGAACCTCTGGCTTTGACTGAAGATAGAGCATCGTGGCGACAACAGTGGGTTGTCGCCATCAGTGATGTGATAGAGCAGCCTGCTGGTCCCGACAGACTGGAGGTCTTCTGCTGCACTGTCAGCTTCATTCTGCCCATCTTTGTGGACTGGCACAGGGTCTGGAAAACAAGATAAATCATCAAGACTTAGAAGTGACAGAGGGCTTGAGACTGTCATGTTCCTAAATAAAGATCATAAACATTCATTATCATGGCTTGCCTCTTTGTCATTTCTTCCTTCTGGGGATATAAAAAGCTTTCAAAACATGTCATGTTTGTTCTCACAGAAACTGGATAGAAAATATTACAAAGCTGCCAACAAAAAAATGGAAACAAATAATTTTGTTTGGGTTATACAGTCAGCACAGCCCAAAACTACAAAAACCCTCTTTTTATTTCATACTATTTACATATGTTGTAGGGTATATTACAAAGCATTAAAGTCAATAAAAAGAAAACAATAAATGGAACTTGAGCAAAAGATTGTAGATTATGAGGAAGAAAAGAGATATCAATGTCAGTGAAGGAAGAGAGAGAAGAGAGTATGGGAAAAGAGAGGAGAAAATAAAGGAGGAAGAGAGGGGAGAGGATCCCCAGACAGAAAATTATTCGGCAGTCATCAAAAATGATGGAGAACCCTACTTATCAAAATAAAGGGATGTTCAGAATATGCCAAATGGAAACCACAAATTTCAAAACAATGCAGTAATGATTCCATTTATAAAAAGCATACATTTATGTGTACAAATAAATGCACTAAAAGATGAAAGAAGTTACATGGCAACTATAAAGCATGGTAGAATTAGGAATTATTCAATTTTTCTTCTCCAAAATTTTATGGAGCATTTTATTTTGGACAAAACTAAAAACAAAAACAAAACCTGCTCCAAACCCTCTCCCGCACTAGC